GTATCGAGACGTCCCTCTTGTTGATGTCCCCGATAAACTGCACGCGGTCTTTGAACTCGTCTGACCCTGGGAATCCTCTCCCACTAGTAAAGTAGAAAATCTACAAAAAGGACGGAAATGCTGGTGAAAATGTACTCATGTATAAATGGGGACATCTCCGACCCCTGAAGGTTCTCATCTAGATCAGCCGTGTTCTCTAGCAACCACAGAGCAACGGGCTAAAATGACCTGATTTTATTGATCAAACAATCCCACATTTTTCTCCCCTCAATGTGATTAAATGTGTTTGTTTTCGAATGGCAAAAAACAGACCAAGCAATACTGTAACATGGACTTTTACTATTAAACAAAATCTATAAGAGTACAGTAATGCCAGATTAAGTAAAAGAACAGACATTTAGACCAAATGCAATAAAGTGTACAATAATTAAAAAAAACAAAAAAACAACAAATCTCCAGGTACTAAAAACAATAATAATACATTCTTTTGACAATTACTTGAACAAAAATCTCTAATATTTACCGCTTTCTTACCATCGTTTTATATTTGTACTCTTTTTGTATTTATTAAAATTATGATTTTTATTCTTCTTTTGTCCTTTTATTTTTTGTATTGGGTTTCACTCATCGTCCAGCACTTTGGTCAACATCTGAGGTGTTCATATGTGCTAAATAAAATGACTTTTTTTTTTTGGACACTGCAGACACTGCAGCGATATTGTTCTTATATTTGACATAGATAAATTAATAGATAAATATTTCCATAATTTAGTAAACAAAGAGGTCAAGCAAACTGGTTTCCTGGCTGTGACTAATATTCCTGTATACAGGAACAACAGCTGTCATAAGACACCTACACACTGAACAGTCTTCACTGCAGCCACACTGTGCTAAATGGAACAGGACATCAAGCATCATGTATGTGAATTGTATGATGATACTGAACTTACTGCTGCTGCTACTACGATTATAACATAGACGGCAGTTTTTCCTCTGTCATTTGTTTCTGTGGTCTTTGGCTTTGGCTCAGTCACGATGACATGACACATCATACAAAAACAAGGCTTTTTTTGCCACAACTCAACTAGATTTTCTTCTTTACTGCAATCCCAAATTTTGTTTTGCCGTTTTCCTTTTCTTTATTATGGCTGAGGTTTTTTTCTTTACCTTCAAAAATTAACACAACAATAAATAAATAAAGAATTCTCTCAAAGTTGATGTCAGATAATTTGATTCTTTTGTAGAAAAACAGACAGAACTTGAAGTGGCTTTCATATTGTTATCAAACTATAAAGAAGGATTAAATATGCTAACAATTATTCAGTTTTATTAGTAATAATTAAAGCAGTAAACCGGTTTCATTCTTGTAGTTTTATAAACATAAATGCAACAAAAAATAGCATTAATGTAATTAAAATCCAACATTAAACTACTAAATAACTTGTAATGTAATTATTTGTACCAATCAGTAATGGTGAAAGCTGTGTTACTGTAACTGTAGCTTCAATTTGTCTTGCAGCTCATTTCAGATTTTTTAAGGGTTAGTAATGCAACATTAGGCAGTACTGATTGACAACTTCTTCTCTGGATGGAAGTCGATGATTAAAGGCTCTCCTTTGCAGTCAAAATGAAAGCAAGAAAATGATCATGTTATCCCAGCAATTTTGTTTTTATAAATCACCGAAAGCCAAATCTAATGCAGCCTAATTAAATTTAAAATTGTATTGGTTGACGCCCTGGACCGTTTCCTGCATGTCCCCTTTGTTTTCCTAGCTGCTCACTAATGTCAAGTTTGGGTCTCAAGCCAACTTTGAACCTCTTTCACTGCACAATGTCTTAAACAAAAGGAGGGAACATCTCAAACCTGTCTAGGCAGCTCAAACACGGCCCTGCAGATGTTTACAGGCAAAGTAGGTCACTCTTGATTAGTTTTTTTTTTTTTTGTACTGAAATGCGTAGAATTTGAAACGCATGCACCAACTACAGATTTTTGGTATCCTGCCATCTCCAATGACAACAGTTGCTTAGTGTGTTGGACAATTTTGACATTTGGACCATTACTGCTGCACAGCCTTTTTCCTTCACTCAGCAGCTTTCCCTTATCTTAGCTTTTTGGTGTTTTTTTTGGACAAGCATCATTTCTCTAGGAAGAGAAGTATTTATTCTGCAAATGATGGGTCTGAAACGTCAGAGAGATTGATGTTTTAAGATACACAGCTCGATGTTACAACATGCTCCAAGTGTAGACTGCGTGTATGTGTTCTGCCATGACTGCTCTGCAAATTAAAGGCCCTTCAGCTATGTCATTATATATGCATGAGTCAGATCACAGCAGACAGACATGCCCCGCCCAGCCCGACTGGACTGTAAACAAAACGCCTTTGTAGATAGGACATGATCCACACAATCGTCCCTCTTTCTTTCTTTTTTTTTTAGCTGCTTAAGAGTTTTAGAGGAATATACACTAATAAGTTCAAGTTAATCACCACAAGTCAATTCTCAGCAGTAATAAATAACACTGTAGGAAAAATCTGTAGCTGAAAACTAAAGTCTACAAAGAGATTTAAGTCGACAAAGTGCTATAAGAACTAAAGAGAAAAATGAAAGCATACCACGGGATCCAATTACGATGCTCAAGCAAGATAGCAGCAGAACATGAACAGATGAAAGCAAACGGAAAAATTAGATAAAAATAAATATGTAGATATGTAAAGACAGTACATGGAGAGAGTATAACTGTACTTGATATATTTTTAGGGAAAAAAAAAGAAAGAAAAAGGCTGGCGCTTAAACTGAAAGCCTACTGAAACCAAATCATAACAATGTGCTCTCACCCATCCCTCAGGGAACAGCCGAATCCGTTCTTCTTGTGTCACAACAGATAAAACAATCGCAGGAAAACATCCTTAAAAACTGTGGGAAATCTTCCCAGAGCGGACACAACCAGCGGGGACTTACCACGTATGGAGATTTGTAGAAATGACTGTCGGGATGACTCGACTGAAAGTTCCAGGTCACCGTGGTGGCCGAGCTGACCACTTCGCTGGACTTAAAGGAGCATCGAAGAATCCCCGTGGTACCGTTCTGTACTATCACCTCAGGATCAGCGTGTATCTCGATCGCAGACGTGGGTCTTGTGACTGTTTATGAACACAAAACAACAAGTGTAAGCACACAAAGCAGCAAGGGTTCGGGGCTAAACCAACACCACGGCCAGCAGGTTACAATCCAGAAAGGCTATTGGTTTATTCTGTAGTTAGTCTTCCAAGATCCCAAAATGGTTTTAGTTAGTTTTAATTATTATTTTTTTTCATAAGTAATTTTTACGTTTAGTTTTAGTTAACTGTAATAGCCTTGTTAATCATCAGTTAATAATCGGACGCTTGGTGCAGTCCCACAGTATTAATAAAAAGGGACAAAATCTGTCCACACGAGTTAGTGTGGTCAATGCACCTTAGAATTACATCATATATTTTTTTAGTTTTTAGGAACTCCGTAACTGTCGCTTGCAGAAAGCCTCCTTTATTAAGGTAAACAAAACAAGAGGCATTTTTCATCATTCACCAGCAACATTATAGAGCAGCAGTATTGCTAAAACTATCCCAGGTGGTCAAACATTTAAGCAGAAATATAACGTACCTGCTTAACACTTTGATAAAACTTAACCTTGTAACTCTTCAGCAGCTGCACAATATTGTCACATAAAATTCCACAAAAAGCAATTAAATGCAACTCCAGCACACTATTTGTGCATGCACAAGGGCTTTTGAATTAGTTGTTTGTTACATATCTTGGATTGTTTTTTTTTTAATCATTATTATTCTTATTCTCGTTACCATCTGCATCAGTAATTTTAATCCTCTGTTTGCTTTTCCTGTCATTTGGAGTCCAGCTAGGGAGTGCTCAGCTGAGTCGTGCATTTTAGTTTTCTCATCCTTTGCGGCCTGGTTTTACTCCAGTGTGTTTTTTTCTTAAGTAGTGAATTAAGTGTTGTTACCACTTCTAGCAGGAAATGTTTTCTTTCACAGTTTGTAAAATACTTTGCTTTGTTTGAAGTTAAAATAACTTCTCTGGCATCATGACACATATATATGTAAAAACTTAGATTGGTATTAGCGCAGATGGCACCATCGATCAAACAGGGCGGACAACTTCGTCAGCCAAACATATTCTTAATATTCTTAAATACTTAAACCTGAATAAACCTGTGCTGAGCTGAGGGGTTTGTTTGTTTTTTAAATTAATATTTATTTTGCTTCCCCCAACACAAAGGGCACAACACAAACAAACATGTATCCCTATTAAATTTTAATTTCACTGAATTACTTATTCAAGTGTCCCTAATTAAAAAGATTTTGTCCAAACCCTGCAGTGGTAATAACGATTACTGTGAGCATGCCCCAAAATCATAAATTACGGTCTAACACATTCATGCCACTGATCTTTGAACCCTTCTAAACT